TGGTCCTGGAGCCAGCAGTATTTCCTCTGCTGTCTTCCCCTAGGAACTGCAGACAAAGAATTCCTGCCCAGTGCCGACCGAAGCCGCAAGCAGATTCCTCGCAAGGTAGAACGCGCAGCTTTGTTAGACCTCAGGACCTTTTTATGACAGATAAAGACCCTGGGGCTTGGGTGTATTAAAGGACTGGTTATTAACCTGGGCTCACGGTCGTTAGCTCAGCGCTGCGAAGGCACAGGTCGTTTGCCAAGAGCTGGATTTACTAACCTGACCTAGGGCAGGGGCACACGGTGGCATTTGGCAGGTCCGCTTCGGCGCAGTGAAGGTTGGCAGCACAGCGATTGCCACGGACCAACTCGCTTGTCTTAAAGCCCGAAAACCAACCTCTCACATAAGGAGGGGAAAGAAAATAAACATCCGTTTAAGTGCCAGCAGCCAGCTGGGGGCTGGGGGATGAAAATTTGCGTCGCAAAGAGGCCATCGCTGAGGTTATTGTCCCTCTGAGACCGTAGCGCAGCCCTGTCCCCTCAAAAGCACCTGCAAGTCAGGCTTTTGCAGAGCAAGCGTTAAACCAGAAACGGCTTGTCCCAAAGTGCCCAACAGAACCCGGCAGAGGGCTGGGGGCTGCAGCAGCCAGGCCAAAGCCGGAGGCAAGCACCCGAACCTCGGGCTTACGCTGCTCTGGGAAGAGAAAGAGGAATAAGGCGCTGCTGGAGCTGCGCTGATCCTGCACCGGCTGCTCTGTGGAAAGGGCATTTCCCTGCGCACGCGCAGCGAGGGGGGCTCGGCACCTCCCAAAGTGCTGCATTAAATTTATCAGACGAGACGCTTCCATTTTTGGCTCTTGTGCACAGAGATGGCTTTGGAGAAGGGAAACAAACCCTCTGACAGCTTTTAACACGCGACAATTAGAAATAGGCGAGAAGAACCACGAGTCTCCCTTGGCCTGGGCGACAAGCTCCTTTCCCAGTTTCAGGAGTTTACACAAACCTGTTTCCAACTTCAAAAAATGTTTTCCCTCAGACAGATCCAAGAAATGACAATGAAATCGCAACCTTCCCCACGGGGCTCGTGTGTCTGCGCTGTTCCCCAGCCTGTGTCCCATGTGAGCTGCACCCTGGACCAGAGGCCCCTGGGTAAACATTCCGGCACGGTCCCGTAATCACTTGCAGATGTCTGGATGTGAAATAGGTCGTGTTAGAAAAGCAAAATTAGAGCGCATTAATCAATATTAATGCCAACAGTCTCCATTTGCACAGGTTCACCCAAAGGCTAATTCCAACGGCCGCGTGCAGGGAGAGCCCGGTGTGTTACAGCTGCGGAGCTGCGCCGGGTCCCTCGGACCACCGAGGGCCTAGAGGAGAAGAAATCTCAATGAGGTTCGCAAACCAACGCAGGGACCCAGTGGAGAAGGAGCCTTTGGGCGGGCATCGAGGGTTGGAACCACCGCGTGAACCGAAACACCTCTCGGCCGCCTGTCAGCGTGGTTCAACCCACAGGTACCCCCAAAACACGGCGCCGGACCGACCCTTCTCCCCTGAACACGCGTCTCGCGGGCGCTGGACACCCATGGCAGAGAGATACCGACACCCCAGCAGCCTGACGAGTACCGCGGCCACCCAGCGCTCCCCGGGAGCAGAGCCACCGCGCATCACGCCCGCTTCAAACCAACCAAGTCTCAGCTAATCCGGATGTGAGAAGAAAAGAAAAAACAACACAAAAGCTTTCTCGCCTTCTGTGGCCACACAA